TGGTGGCACCAGCCCTGGAGCCATGCATTAACAGATTGGATTTTTTTTGTTTATTCCGATGTTGCTGCTTTCAACGGGAAGCAAGGCTGCTTCCTCAGGAGCAAGGCAGCAGATGCCTTTCTAGACTTGTGCAAGGCATTTGACACCGTCCCGCGTGACAGCCTTGTCTCTAAGACGGTGAGACATGGACTTGATGGATAAAGACCTGTCTAGAAGGCCACACTCAAAGAGTTGTCCTCGATGGCTTGAAGTCCAGGTGGAGCCCAGTGACCAGTGGAGTTCCTCAGGGGTCTGTTCTGGGTCCAGTGCTGTTTAACATCTTTGTCAGTGACATGGACGGTGGCACTGAGTGCACCCTCAGCAAGGGTGCTGATGACACGAAGCTCTGTGGTGCAGTGGGCTCACTGGAGGGAAGAGAGCCTGTGCAGAGGGACCCTGACAGGCTTGAGGAATGGACCAGCGCAAACTGCATGAGGTTCAACGAGTCCAAGGTCCTGCACCTGGGTTGGGTCAATCCCAGGCACAATTACCACCCGAGTACAGAGCTGGTTGAGAGTAGCCCTGAAAAGGATTTGGGGGTGTTGAGTGACACCAGCAGTGTGCTCATGTGGCCCAGAAGGCAAATTGCATCCTGGGATGCATTGAGAGGGGTGTGGCCAGCAGATCAAGAGAGGTGATTCTCCCCTTTTACTCTGCTCTTGTGAAGTCCCAATTGGAGTATTGCGTCCAGTTCTCATGTCCCCACTAGAGAAGGGACATAGATCTGTTGGAACGAGTCCCGAGGAGGCCGCAAAGATGATCCAGGGTCTGGAGCATCTCTGCTATGAGGACAGGCTGAGGGCACTGGGATTGTTCAGCCTGGAGAAAACTCTAGGGGGAGACCTTATAACTCCCTTCCAATAGCTGAAGGGAACCTACAGGAAGGCTGGAGAGAGACTTTTCACAAGTGTGTCCAGCTCCAGGACAACAGAAAGTGGTTTCAAACTGAAGGAGAGTAGGTTTAGACTGGGTCTTAGGAAGAAGTTCTTCAGTAGGAGGGTGGCAAGACTCTGGACTAGATTGCCTAGAAACCTTGTGGATGTCCTCTCCCTGGAGGTGTTCAGGCCACGCTGGATGAGGCCTTGAGCAACCTGGTCCAGATGAGAGGCATCCCTGCCCCTGGCAGGAAGGTTGGATTAGATGATCCCTGAGCCATTCTGTGATTTCCTGCAGATGGGCACATACTGTACCTTCTCCATAAATCTAGGTACATACACAGGTCACAGATGCTCAAGAACACTGACACCAGAGAGCACACCTCTGCTCTCACTTTGCTGCCTTCCTCTGACTGCAGAGATGTCCACGAGTAAGGAAGCAAACAAACAAAACCTAAACACACTCAAAAAAAAAAACCAGAACAACAAAAAACCCACCAGGACACCCTGCAGCACCCACCCACAACCCCAATTCATATAAACACACATATCTCGATGGGTGTGCACACCTACCCAACGCCCATGGTGGAGTGGTGGGGTGTCTCCTCAGCCAGCTGGCCCAGCTCACGGAGCCTGCCATGGAGTTTGTTGGGCTGAATTCCTGTTTTTCCACTGTATCCAAGTGAGCACTTGGCTGCCCAGTGACAGCCTTGTCCTCTCCCACACCTGCACAGCTCCATCATCACATGCCGACCAGCTTCCAGGGCAGCCTCCTGTCCCTGACTGGTTTTGGGGGTGATGATGGTACTGTTCTGCCTCCTGCCATTTGTCCTTTGAACTCTTCAAAGAAGGGCTTGATATTTTATACTCTGAAGACATAGATTTCAGTTGGAAAAAGAAACATTTGTATTTTCATGTAAAACATGCAAATTACAATTAGGCAGTTTTTGTTCGAGAACCTGAAGACAAAATTGAAGAACGTCCAGAAGCAGAGTGTTGATCCTTGTACCACGTCCAATGTCCAGATTTTGGGTTTGAGTTTCAGGTAGCTGTTTAAACATTCAGGAGCAAAACTCTTACTGTTTATGTGTATAAATTCTATATGTGAGTACTAAACCAGTCAGCTAAGGCCTATTTCATAGGGCCAAGATGATAATTTCACCCCGTATTCACTGGTGTGGCCTCCTTCTGAGAGCTCAGCACACTGCGTGGCCCCACGGCGTCAAAAACCAGACATCATCCGCGTCCCATACTCCAATAAACATCTACTGGCAACATGATTTAAATAAAGTGTGAATGACAAAAGTTTATTAAATGCATTTTTAAAAAATTATATCTTTCTTAAATACGGATTTCTCAGTATGGATTTCATTGTAAAACAGTTTTGAAGCAAGTCATAAGTTACTTATTAACAGGTTGCTCAATAAAAGAGTCCCTTCACTGCTGTATGGTAGTCTTCAACCATATTTAAGACACAGACTGTGTGGTGTTGCCTTCACCTGCTAGTTCATGTCGATGCAGCATGCCTGGGAAAGATCAGCTCCATTTTGGACTTGTAAACATTTTGAGTTAGCAGCAGGCAAGAAGTGGCAGCAGTTCTTAGACTCTTCCTCCCTCTCCCCCCCCAAAGAAAAGACTTGCTCGTGAAGTGTATTTTGTGCTGAAGACAAGCAAACCCTATTCCCGCCACCCCCACCACGTAAAAGCACATTCTAGAAACAAGTCTCACAGCTAATGGACTGAAACAAGGCATGAGAAGACTTAGGCATGGCAATTTCACTGGAGCTTTATTGCCTCTGTTGGTAATGAGAGGGATTGTAAGAAGTTACATTTGAATTTACAGAGATATGTAAATGTTTTTTTACTAAATATAATCTTAAGTGTTTTATATCAGGGCACTTCTAATTTTGTACATATTTAATGTATAAAAACAGATTACAAACTTCATGTTCGCCTTTTTTTTTTTCCCTTGACAATTGGCAAAATTAAACTGATCCATTTAAGGGGAGATCAAATTGAAGACATAAGCACTTACGAATTAAAGCAACCCAAGTAAGCAACTGTCTGCATTCTTAAATAAAAAAAAAAAAAAAAAGAGAAAACCACACAAATATATAAAGGAAAAACACATGGCCACATCTGAGCACGTTTCCATACAAAATATTCCCCGTAACCAGGAATTTTGTCCTTAGAACAACACCCTGTTAAATCAACGTTTCTTCCAACTTCAGTCACTCGTTTTGAAAAACTTTTAGGATGCCATTATAGCACAAATAAGCCTTTTCTGCAACATAATTAGTCAAAGTTTTATGTATTTCTTTATAATTACACAGTAATTATAAGCGTGTAGTACCAAACTGATGACAACACTATTTTGTTGAAAAGATCTTGTATTCAAAAGGAATATTCTTTAAAACACCCCGGCACCGCGCCACGACCCAACCCCAGACTTTTTTTGAGGGACAAGTCTGTACTGGGATAAAAAGCAAGTCAGTTCTCCTCTCCACACACAGCATACTTGAACTAATCAATCTGAAACTGTACCAAAACCCTCAAGACAGAAAACAGCACACGTAGATACCTTGTAGAACTTTTCCTCCACTCGCCCTCCCACCCCATAATTTCAAGTCCCCATTTATATTTACACAAAATTGAGAAAGGAAATACTGAAAGCAGCAAAACACACATTTTTTGGCATAGCCAATTCCAGTAGCTGGAGAAAGTCTGCGATGTTTTTGTGGAAATGTGTTCTCAAAAGAAATGCACAACTGGATTTTCTTAAAAGGGCACTGCTGTACAGGGAGCTCGCCTTACGGGCAACTTCAGAGAGCACAAAGTAAAAAATTTTAGCAGTTTAGCAGTCAATTTTTTCCTAAAATACTTCTAGCATCTGCATAAAAGTGTTCTGCTGTTTAGTGCAAGTACCAATTACTCATTTCAAAAATAATTCTGGCCTTATCACGGGACTATTTAGAGCATGGACTTAAATCTCTATCCTTACTTGTAACTAGACGTTATTTTCTCCAGGAGCTTCGTATTTTCCAGCCTGTTTTACAGAGTAGCACTTATCAGATCTCTTCACAAGTAACTGAGGAGTAAAAGACCATGTAAAGCAGAGAAGCAGCTGAAGAGCTCTTGTAATATTAAAAACAAAGAAGAATTCCATCTGATAAAACTTGTTTTGAACAAAATGAACTTTTGATTTAGTTAAATGCAGTAAGACGATAAGAAGTAGTGATGATCAACAAAATAATTTAAGCAAACAAAGCCAGTGTAGTATTTTAGATCTGATCTGTGCTTGGTATGGAAAGCTTTACTCTTGATTTCTGTATTTGGCAACCACAGTGATATGTCAATTTAAGGAAAACTCAACAAAATAATTTAAAAAATGGGTGTCATCCATAATGGCAGTACCTCTATGTTATAAAGATTTAAGTTACTTCTCAGGATAATGGTTTCAAAACCCAGATTCACATCAAACTCGCCAGCTTCTTGTACAACAGGGCCATTTCTTCCATCATACCTCAACCATAAAAATTACACCTCTCGATTTAAAATACTGTATTGTGTAGCAAACACTTAAGACACAAATTCAGTATATTCAAGTTTTAGATTTCCACAGAAATGAAAAAAATCTTTCATTGACAGACAGAGAAGCATTTCAAAACTGTAACAAAATCTGACTTCTTAGATAATAACCTAGAGAATATTAGGTTCTAGCATGACGCACACAGCTTATCTCGACGACGCGCGCTGAAGGCTGACGATAACGTTACACACGGGCGCTTGAAGTGCGCAGCAGTTGTGTCGTACTCCAACTGTCCTCACAGCCAGCTGAGGTACAACCAAACCATTCAGATAGGCACCTAGATACCCCAGTATCCACAACCTCGGGTTTCCTTGCTTATTTCTGTACTTGTTTTTACTGAGACTCAAATTCACTTCGACGATACCTGTACTTTTCCAGAAATGAAAAAAAATATCAGACGCAGTACACTTAAATATATCACTCTTACAGGAAGTGCTATCAATAGTCTTTGCAACTAGCCCCAAGTGTATATTTAAGGATTCTTTTAAAAAGTGTTTTGATGTTGATCTGTATAATTCAGTTGTCTGATGATGAACAGCATTGTGCTTTATGTGAAACCAGAAACCTCAAAATAATTATAAAGCTTCTAGGACTTATGGGAGATGAAACTAGGGTGGGTCCATCAAACAAAAAGAAAACCAAAAAATAAAAAGCCAAACCAAAATCCATGATGAAATCCACAATGTTGGAATCTTAACAGGCAAGAGTGGTCCAGACTAGAAGAAAAGCCCAAACCACCAGTAGAAGAATGAAATACGATATGGTCCAAGATGTATCCTTAAAGGTTTGTCTCAACCCTCAGCCATATTGTGAGGATTGATGTTCAGTTCAGTCCAGCCAGCAGAAATTGACTGTGCAATTTTCCATTTCAGGTATTTGTACAGACTATGTACACTCTAGAAGGGTCCTTTAGTGCTAGACTGTCGTACTTTTTGTCCCAGCAATTTGAGGGCGTGCAAATTCCACAAAGTCATCAATAAGAACTGGCCATGCTCCTGAAAGAAAAAAAAAAAAGACCAAAACGTAAGAACTCAGTTTAACAAGGCATTCTTGCTACAGCTTCAGATCTAAACAAGTTATTTAATTTCCAGTAAACTAGGCATAGTTGCAAGGAAAAATTACATTTCAAGCAAGAAAATCAAATTACAACAGCTGGTTAAAGATTTCGGCTTCTTTCAAACCCAGCTTAATGCAAATCCTTTTCAAGGGTCATACTTGCTTTATATTCCTGGTCAAAAAAAAAAGGTGAAAAAAAAAAAAACAAACCAACAAAAATTCTAGCTTAAAAGTGTCCTGGTCTTGGCACCAGAATTCGATCTCCAGCATGGCAGTAACTGCTTTGGAAGTGCTGAGTAGGGGATGCAGCAGCCTGTGCTGGAAGCGGCTGCGTGCCGTAACGTGCCACAGCACTCGCTGCTCACAGCTGCACTCTGCACGGAGGCAATGTCTGAATCACCCTCAGCCACACCTGGAAACTGCAGCATGCACCCCGAGAGCCACCAATGCAGCGCCGTGCTCTGGGAGGCTGCTGTGACACTGGGTATGCTCCTCCCTGCTCCTTAGCAAGGGGTAGTTAAAACGTGTATCAATATTTTACCTATTATGGGCAGCCATATCCCAGAAGTCCCCAGTCATGATGGTCATGTCAAGGTTAAAAATAACTGAGGGCTGAGTTGTTTCCCACGCCCACCCTTAAAGTATTTTTATTCCAAATCAATAAAACATGCTTTCTGCCTTTCATCTTTCTACATGACATTGATTTACAGTGGGCAGCAGGACATCTGCTCAATGGTAAGGGAATGAGAACCATCCATAATTATTAAATAAAGTTACAGAAGTTTGCTCCCCTCTGCTCTGGAAGTATCAGAAAGTTAGAGTTTCCTCCACTCACAGAACGGATCTGCCACCCATGACCAAAGGTAATTGGCTGTCCTTGGCTACACACAGACTGGAAGAGGAAAGATCTTTACACGTTTGCAAGAAACACATTTGGTAGGGTATAACTTATGCTTAGCAATCCCTGTACACTGCCAGCTTCACTTTCCTATTGCTAAATATTCAATCTTCACATCAACTGAAGCAACCAAACTTATAAAAAAGGTCTCAGCTAAGAAATGCAATAACCAGAGGACCTACAAAGAAACATACAGGCCATCAGGAATCAGTTACTGAACTGAAGATGCCAAGAACTGTGCTGACAGAGAACCTGTAGGTTTTCACATGGACAAATATTAGGGCTTGTCTTGAGAAGAATGAATTAGTGTTTGAGCTCAGACAGAATAAAAAAAGAAAATAGATTGCTGGAAGTTTCAGCAGTTCTCTTCTAAAACTCTAGCAACAAGCATGACAATAACAATATGCCTTAAAGTAGCTCAGACTGAACTTTAGGTCACCAGTGATATTCTGAGTAGGCCGTTATTAGAAAGCTGTGCCAAAGCAGTTACACAACAATAAATGTAGCATAAAACACAGTTAGAAGTTAATGAAAGAAAATGGAAATGTTTACCTTCCTCATCATAGTTAGACATATCATCTGCTATCATTGTACTAAAGTCTAGAAGAAGGTTCCAGGTATCCTTTGGAATTGATCTTTTATGATGTTCCTGTTTAGAGGGGTGGAAAATTTATGTTTAAAAAAAAAAAAAAAAATATTAAATCCCCTTTATATCCATTCAATTGTACTGTCTTGGACACATCCATAGCCCCAAAACATATTTCCCTTGTACACACTAGGAAGTGCAGGATCTGGGTCAGAACAGTCTATTTCACCTACTCAATTTAAAAATTTATCTTCCACGTTTCGATAATACTGCAGTCCAGTTTATGTAAAGATTAAAACTTACCAACAAAAATTTGTTCCACAAGTCTAGAAATTTAAATCTTCCATTAAGTACTAAATTCCAGTAGGCAATGGCCATTTCTAAATCTGTAATATTAAAATATATTACTTTTAGAGATATACATTTCAAACATATAACCTCCACATGTATCTAACACTAAGATGAACCATATATTCATAAAGGTGAAAAGATTCATCTAATGTAAATACACTCGTGGATCCTTTACAAAAAGGCAACCATAAATAAAATGTTACACAAATGTTGTATAGATTTTGATACTATCACTTGAATGTAGAACTGAAAATTGCCCAAAGTAATATCTAAAATATTCAAAACACACAATTTGTCATATGCCTTTTGCTAATAATACTTAAAATTCAGTAAAATATTTTTGTCTTAGGAATGCTATTGAAAAGAAAATCTAGAGTATTTCGTAGGAAGATCTGCTTTCATCTTTTTAAAAGCATAAAATACAATTTGCCTAAAAGTAGCTTTTTACGATTTGGCTTTTAGAGCAACCTTTGTAACACGGTTTTTGCCATGTGTTCATTTCTGCCATCGGGTTTCCTTTTCAGAAAAAATCTTTAAGTACTGTACAAGCAGATGGCCGGTTTGTTAGTTGTTGGTCTTTTTTTGGTTGGGTTGAGTTTGGGTTTTGTGATAGTGGTGGTTTGGGGTGTTCTGTCGATAGGTTGGGGGGTTTTTTGTTTGTTTTTCATCTTGTTTCTCAGGAGAACTGAGAAACCTGACCTGACACAGTTCAGGAACAAGACCAACCTGCCTGTCAGGCAAGTGCGTGCTGCTGTCAGCAGTGGGTGCTGCGATGGTGTAGCAGTTAGAAAAAGAGACTGGTTAGTTGAGCGTGGAGGGAAAAACCCCAACTCGCCTGCCCGGTACTTGCCAAAGGCTGAACTGACATGCACTCACTGTTTATTAGTGGCACACAGTACCCTGCTAGCTGATGAAGCTCTGGCTCAGAGTTCTCACTCTGCACCGAGCGTGATCTCCAAACGACACCAAGGACCTCTCCTGTGTGTAACAAAACACTACGAACTCTGGAATCTTACTGAAGTCAGTATCCAGCACCAAACACATACAGGAACCCTAAAAGACTACCTAGGTAAGTGACCTCTTTTTTAACCAAAGCTCTTGAATATTCTGCAGTCTAGCAAATTTTTTCTGTAGACGATCCCCTTTTGAGAGCAGAGAGAAGAAGCACATGATCAACTGCACCTCAGGAAGAAAAAAGAAAAAGAAAAAACCTGCCAACCCAAGAAACTCAATCCCTTCCCCCAGCTGCCCAAGCTATTTTAAAAACCAGGGAGATGGATCTTTGAGGTGGAATCAATCGCGAAACAAAGCATGAACTCGGCACTGCTGCTGGAGGGAAAACAGACAGCAAAGGGGGCAGTTCCTGAATTGTTTAGTATTTTTGATATTAGAGGTTCTTCTCGAACAGTACATTCACATTATAATGCTTCCTTACCCAAGAAAAGAATAAAATTTGTGAAGGATTTTCCAGCAACAGCACAGGGGTGTGATTTCAGACAAATGTGCAAGTTTGAGTTTTGAGAACCAGAGAGAAATGAAGCAGAAGTCACCACTCAGTAAATAAGCTGTATGTGAAAATGACAGCTTACTCAAGAGTGCAAAGACTAGGTAGGTATGTCTTTCTAACAGAAGATTCAGACACAAAAAAATACACACTTCACCTCTCAGCTAAAGCCACTGTTTTTCCAAAAATTAATAGATACAAACTTCAGATGAAGCTGATCAGTTCCTCAAGGAAACAGATTAGGAAACAAAAGTTTTAGGTACTTGTGATGCATGAATATCAGGCACACAAAAAAATGCAAGGTTATCAAATCCCTGCATATTCACAGAGGTTTCTTAAAAAACACTATAAACAAAATGCTTATGCAATTTTGAGATTACTCTTTACAAAACAAATCTCAGGATGCTGCAACCTCAAACTCATTATGTGAGTTCAAACATGTAAAGCACAAAGACATAATGCCTTAGGACAAACTAGCTCCTTTAAAACAAATTTTGCGAAATCACAAAATTGGAAGTTAAAGATGTAATTTCAGGTTTACATAAGGAAGTGAAAGAATGCTCAGGAATGTCCTCATGGAGTAGATACAAAAGGCTCAAAATATATGCTGCATTCTGGATTTTATCCAGGAAGACACAAGAGAAGCAATGTTTGAGATGAACATCAGCTACAAGGTATTCTTAAATGATATGCAAATATCACAAGAACTTTTAAGACATCCACTGTACATACAGGGCAGAAAGGAATTAACCAGAGGAACCGCATTCCCAGAACTGTGCCTCAACTACTACACAATGTTTGGAAGTTTAGAGACCAATATACATTAGAAACAATTTGCAAGTTCCTACAAGCAGTTATTTAGACACTCCAAAATTAATTGCCTAACTAGCAGCTCTTATTTCTCAGCACTGTATTCCAACTGTTCTTTTGCTTCAGGGTTTCCAGAATTATTCTGCTCTATCATAAATTCATGCCTAGAACTGTGTATTTATTGGCACCAAAAGGACTGCTAAGCACCCAGATTCTAAGCTTGGTTCTACATTACTTTCAGATCCAGATCTAAAAACAGACAAAAACAACAATAAAAAAACCCAACCATCTCTTATATATATGCCACATTGATCTGAGAAACGATACTTGGTTTTGTCACTGATAGAGCTTAACCTGCACAAAGAAGCTTTAAGATGAAAGAAAAGTAAAGCAAGGGACTTAAGTTTTTCTGGTAAATCATTTTTACTGGTCTGTTCATCTGGGATACACAAAAGTTTCATTTCTATATAGGATGGTGAGGGAGTGGGGCAGTTCAGAAGTTTTCCTTATACTTATATATGGATAAGAAAATAAGGGAAAATTAATTAAAAATTATCATGTCATTACAAAATCATTGTAATTTGTCATTTAACTTTTACCATCCTACAGGGATTCTGCAAAATACTCAGTGTTGTGTAAAGCTGTTTAACGATCTAGAAACCCCATACAAATGACACAACGGTAACCATAAAAATGCCGAAGCAAACCCTGCACTAGTTCATGCTGCAGAACTGATTCCACACTGACACTCTCCATAACCTAACTTCTACCTTCTCACAATTCAGTCACTGTCTACGTTCTTGTTGTAGAAGCTTAAAATAAAAATAATATTTTGCTTAACTACTTATTTTTCAATATTCATTTTAAGTCAGAAGTTGGTTTTCGTGTAAAAGACGAAAGGAGAATGTTCATCTCTTCACAGCACAGGAATGCAAAGCTGGTCAGTGGCAGTCAGTTCAAAGGATTTTCACTACCAAGAAAAAAAAAAAATTCAAAAGCTGCCAAGGAAGGACTAATTGGCCTTTCAGTATTTTATTTCTTCTCAAAAGTAGAAAAGTTAACTTAAGTAGTTAACAGAGAGTCATGAAACACTAGTGATGGCTGATAGCTCAGCTACACAGTATCTAAATGAATACGCGTTCTGGTTGGTTCACATTGCTGCTTGAAAGACATTTTTGTCTCCTCATTTTTGATGATTTGACTAGACAAATCTACAGTTTGTTCACTTGGCACCATCAGAACTATGCTGTTCTGTCATTATTTTTAATAATTTATTCTTCCACTTCACCTGTTACACTAATCAAAAGCACAATCAGCCAAAGTGCTCTGAAATAACAACAACCAAAAAAAAAACAAAACAAAACAACCAAATTCAGTGAGCTGAGAAAAAAAAAGGAGGCCTGGAGGTAGGCACCTATAAGCAACAGCACAAGAGCAGGCATCAAGCCTAGGATATAGCAATTTATTCATAATATTCCAACTGTATTTTGCCAAGACATTTTAAAGTGGTTTTCGTGTTAACAAGAGGCTGTACAAGTGTACTGACACAGAAATTGGTTTTATAGCTTAAATTTACCCTAAAAATGAAAATTTAATTAATCTGTTCAGTGCTGCAAATTCTAAGTGGTACAATCATGCCTTTAAAGTAAGACCATAACCCATTGTGCTTACTGAGAATTGCACACGGTGAAAGAATAAACACTCATAAAACTTTGTAGTCTATATTAATGATGCAGGTATTTCTATCAATGTGAACACCTCAAGCTGACATCTATCTTTCACAACAGAGAGGTGGTTTTTATCCCAAGGGTGGTTATCTTTCAAACTCACTGGATCACAGTAACACTTTCACTTACTGCTTTAATTGGTCACTTCTCATATTTATGAACAAATGATTAAGATTAGGAATACATACCTAAACCTTTCTGTCCCGGATTCTTTGCAAAGTTGAAAGTAAACTGATAAAAATCCTTAAATCTTCCTGGCTCTTTTAATTCTTGTTCCATTTTAGGAATCTGGGCCTTCAGTTTTTCTATGCTGTCACATCTGCATTTTAAAGAGCACGTTTACCTATGTATTATTCATTCTGACGTAAAATATGCATTATAACTTAAACAAGAATTTATAAAGTTTTTGTGGAACACAGCATGATTATCAAAACAAAATTCACTAAACCTTTGATTAGTCTGCACCTACACAACAATTTCATTTCTTTGTTATTTTTTCACACTGCCATTTGCACATACTAGCTGATACATCAGATTCAATAATCCACAAGATTTTTAGAAAACTGTGATAAAGACTACCACATTCTCATGAGGCAGAGAAAACCCTGGTATGCTGGACTGCAGACCCACACCCTTGCTTTACCCACCCGAGTAGCTCTATAGCAGCTAACTGAAATACTCGCAAGTAGCACTCAAGGTCGCCTCCCTTTTTTTGGCCACTAAGCATATATCACGTAGGCAGCAGACGCATTTTTACAGAGGCAGACGAGTGATGCTAGACTCCAAAAATTCTATGAAGTCTGAAAGGCCACTGAGAATGTGAATTTCCCAGTACAGGGCTGTTTCACTCTACCTTCCAGCTTCTGACACTGGATTACGCCATCAGTGTCTAATACTTACTGCACACTTACCCTAGCTCTGTCATTCCATCCATGAATTCCAGCTTTGAAAATTCACACTGCGTAGCAGCTCGGAATTTCCACGCAATGATGAGTACAGTAATGCTGGCTGGGTCAAGAGCTAGATCATCACAAAACTGCTGTATACCATCTATACCAATTTTGTTTTCATCTTGAGGATCTTTGGGATATGAAAATACTTATCAAGAAAAACAGATTTTTGAAAAAGCTCATTTATTCAACAAGTGTATATAAGATAAGGAAACATTTTCAAAAAAGCCAGTTTGGGGATCAGCCCTTAAAAGTGAATATTTTTAAAACAACAAAAAAAAATCAGTATTTTCAATGGTTAAGCTTTAACAATTGAAGCAGTTACTACAATAATGTCTCCCACACAATGAAGCTTATGTTATTTTCATTGAGAGACAAAAGCACCACAAACATTTGTTTTCTGCCTAATAATATGCAGGATCCTCTGACTCATTCCATACAGAGAACAGCAGCCCTTTCCCACCAGCACACTTAATTATTGGCATCTTTGGTGAGACTGCTGATCTGTGTACCATCATAAACAATTCTGCAGTGTCCATTTGCAAGCTGTACCAACACAATCATCAAATCTCCCAGAAACTCCTAAGTTAAGGTGAGTTTTATGCATTTTCTGGCATCACCAGCATGCATGAGACTGGACATGGTAAGCTCCAAGAGGAAAGTTACGTTGCCCCACCACCGATTTCAAGTCAGCCAGGCACACTCCTCTTTGCACGAAGGAATCAACATCTGGTCTGGAAGTGAGGTGCTCATATTTCAAGCACACTAACAAAGATCTACTAACATAAGCCAATAAAGACTTCAGGGAAATGGTATTTGGATTATGCATGCACATGAAAACTGACAGAAAACGTAGCACTCTCTTTTACACTTGTTTTTATTTTAAAAGTACTAAAACAGAATTTTTTCTACTCTACAGAATCCACTTTACTGTTTGTGGTAGGATATCATGAGCTAAACACTGGCAATCGATAAAGAGATTTTGTTTTCTTTTCTGCTCTGTTCTATCTGGTAGTAGGCAAAAGGTGAATAAAAACTAAGCTAGAATCCATCCTTGAGTGCAACCTTTCACTTTGTCAGGAGTCCTCAATAATGTGCTTTCCCCAAAACAATCACCTAAAATCCATGTTAATTATGACAGTTATTCACTGTACACACAATTCCAGTGCCAGACCCTGATCTTGTATAAATGTATACATATTTGGAGCACATAAAGCAACCGTGTGTAATCCTTGTGAAGCAGAAGTCTGCATATATTCCCCTTCTAACCTGATTAGTAATAGAAAAACAAAGCTAACAACTCAGTTCAGATTTCCAAGCACAGGGGCACAGCTGCAATGAGACACTGTCACTGAGAGCACATACATAAAACTAGGAAAAAAACAAAAAACTAGGAAAAAATCCAAAGCTTTAAAATTCCGGGTACTCACCTTTGTATCTGTTATATAGTTGTTCTAACTTCTTTCTGTCCAATGATCCTTTAACACTCTCTCGTATATAAAGTTCAGGATTTTGGAAGAAGTTGTCTGTTGCAACATCTAACTTCCAGTCATTTTGAGAAAGACAACTCACTGCTGTCTTTTCACTAGACTGTGTGAAGACCATGAACTGACGCACTTTATCCTTCTGTGAGGATTTCAACTTGTTCTAGTAAAAACAGACAACACTGTAACTAGAAATGCTTTAGTGGGGAAAAAAAATAAATTAGTACTGTTAATTTTTTTTTTAATCAGTATCTTTTATCATTTTCCCAAACAATTAGACTTCCTCTAACTGATGTGGCAGTTAGACACTCAAACCAACACATATACATACATCTATACAGATTTAAATGTAAACTTACCTTCAGTCTACGTACTTTACATTGTAACAAAGCCTAGTTAAATCATCACAAAAATCACACAGGCAAAGCAATCACAGATATAAAAAAAATGGACATTCTTATTGCATATTTGGAGAGAGAGCTTAAGGGCAGAGCAAATTCATATGGAGCTGTAAGCTGGGACACTCTTCTATTTAAACCAATTAAAAAAACATTCTCCTCTTAATAGAAGAATGCCACACCTACCAAGAAAGGGCAATTGGGGCACCCAAATAAAGCCCATGACTATCAAAATATTGGCTAGATGAACTGAGCAGAACAGGCTGTTGAACATCCTACCAGCACAGAACTCAAGGCTGGCAGCCAACCAGTCCCAGCTGACCCAGCTAAGACACAGCAGCTAGTGCAGGGCGAGTGGTAAGCCCAGGCTGCCAGGAGCAGGATCCCTGATGTGCCTCCTGATGGTAGCCAGGCTCTAGGCTGGGTCATCCATTTCAGCGAGCTACACTCTGAAATAGTTTAAAACATTCTTTTTGCTTTTTATTTTTTTTTCCTCTGAAGGTGCTCAACTCCAGCTACATAATTTGCAAACCATTGCAGTGAGGAGGCATTGTCTCCATTTCACAGGTGCAGCAACTGAAGCTAAAAAAAAAAAAAAAAACGAGTAGGAAATTTTGCCAGAGGTGGGCAGGGGAGTGAGTAGCCAAGGTGAGAGCTCTGGCATTTCAGGCCTCCTGCCCAGACCAAGAGACTCCCTGCTCTGTTGCAAAACCGAACCAAGAACTTGCTGCCAGTAATTTATCAGCATAGAGGGATTCCCAAGGATATTTTTGATAAGCACACTCAGTATTTCAAGGGTATTAGTTACACAAAAGTAATTGCTGATCAGGAGACAGCAACCAGACAGCTCCTGCACTAAATCCACATTCAGTTCTAAAGTTCTCTCAATACGTTTAAAGCAAAAAGACTCCTAACTTTACAAATTGGTAAATTAAATGACTTATGACTTTTAAGTCAGGATTGGATTTTTTACATGCCACAAATATTTAATTTGTAGTTTATCTTGCATTCTAATCAAAACATATATTCTGTTCATTATTGTAATTTCCAAGTGCATGGCTCCTTCTCAGGAAGTATGAGGAAAAAAAGGGAAAAAAAAAAAATAATCTCTAGAAATGACAAACCCTCCTCAGCAAAAGAACGAGTAGTTTAGGAGCCATATGAGCTCAGGCTCTTCATTCCAAAGGATAATTTGTGTCCAATCACATTATGGTTAGAAAAAAACCCTAATGCTTCAGAACACAAATTCATCTGCCCTAAAATTCAAAATCACTTTTCTGCTGCTCAGTGACAGTGAACATGAACACTGTTATTTGTAAGAGTAGGTAAGTTACCAGCTTCAGAGTTACACCTTTAAAAAAAAAAAAATAAACAAGAGCATCACATTTGGCTTAAACCCACACTCACATAATATAGTAAATAACCAATACCTTTAAGATCCCTTTAAAAACAAAAAACAAGGCCAAAAAATCCCCCCTAAACCAAAATAACCCTGTATCTACAACACTTATCTGAAGCCAAACTTTTATCACATGCTGCAGACTTAAACACTGTGACATTAGTTAGTCTATACTATTTTTAAAGCTACAGTGTGTTGCTGTTTATTTCAGTCTCTTAAATAAGTTTCTCACATTTGGCCTTTTGCTACAAATATTTTTCTAAGACTCAGATTTTCAGAAGTGGTTCCAGACAAAGGTCAAGCCATCAGAGCAGGTCCTGCAAAGACCCACTGCTCACAATGTGTACATCCTTTGAGTTTCATGGCAGACATTCAGCACCTTATAGTATTGAGCTCAAGCTTCCACAAAAAAACACTTACACTGACAGAGCCATGTGGAATGACTTCCAGAAATGACTAATGGATTTTTAGTGGCAGTTTTAGAAATATATTGTGAACTCAGACATATTAAAACAAACCATTGAAAGAAATCCCAAATGAAGATGAAACAATCCCAAGGCTAATTCTCTGTATCAATTACCAGCTTCCTCAAATCAGTTCCACACAGCCAGACTGCTGTACCACCACAGACTCAGCTGCACTATATGGCAGTCACAATTATGAACTTAGCTTTTTTTATTTCTTTTTTGAGAAAGCTGGTTCCTTTATAGTTTTTTGTTTGTTATTCTGGTGTGGGTTTTTTTTTTAATCATGTACACATAAGTATGCCCTTCTAATAGTGAGTGTTCTGTAAAATCTGAAGAAGCTTTGTTCTGCCCTACTCCTGACCCCTGCAAGGGTAAGCTCTAAAAGCCATGACATAGAACAAAAGTCAAGGAACAGGTTTAAAAGGGCTTCATCACGAATGTCCAAGATGACAAAAACTAATGCGCTGTCACAGAAATGGAGAATGCAATTTATTAGATAAAAAAAATTGCAGCTTAAATCACTTTTATGATAAAAATTTAAATCCTACCATGAGATCTTCCTGCGCTTGGGGCTCCCTAAATGATAGTAACGCTAAGAATCAAGTAGCTCGTGACACTAATCAGTATAGCATTCAGTAATATGTTAAGATGCAATAAATGACACTCTTCAGCCATAACACTTTTCTGGAATAACTATATCTTTACTGGTGAAATGTACGTATATTTTTGTGAAGAAGTGCCAAAGCCCTTTCTTTACATTTGAAGAATGCTTCCTCAGAAGCTTGCCAACATGTATGAGGTACTCGCATCCTGAAGTGACTGGACCACTCTTTGAAGGTTTACTACAGGACAGCAAGAGATTAAATTACTGCTGAGTTTTTATTATCCTATTATAGCTCTTCTTTCATCACATTAAAATGCCACACTTCAAGCAGGAACAAGTCCCAAAGCCTTCTGCACTTTTAAGGGCTATTTCTAGAAGCTGGGCTCTAACAATCTACTATTGTTTTAAGTGTGCAAGACAGAAGCCAGAGCACCCTATAACCTTTAATCCTGTACTCATCAGGCAACAAATATCTTATACTGCAATTCTATGTACTGTAATGTGATGCAACCCATTTAAAATAGCTCAACTTTAACACTAGTTAAAAAGAAAGATGGGATTTTATTTAATACCCGTCTTGCTAAAATACACAAGTGAAAACCAATGCAACAAATGTTCTAGTAAATCTTACACCTCAGGGTAAAAGGAAAAATCCAGATCTGCAAGCCTCTGATCAAGTTTGTGTGGTATCCAAGCTACCTTGGTGTTGTAAGAGAAAGTGAAGTTGGTCTTAAAATGCAGAACAGCTTCTCCAAATGAAAAGCTGCACTATGTAGGTTCACAAAACTACAATAATTACATCATTCTAATGAATGTCTGATGCTGTATCATTGATTGTAAAATGAAAAATTGCCTCTCCCCAGGAAGTACCAAATTTGGTAATTCTAATTGGATAATTCATCCTTGATCAGATACTTCAGTGAAAGAGAAGAATTTTTACATCAGCTATTTTTCCTCCAAGTATTTTTTTTTCCTGGCCTCAGACTGAAATTCCCCCAACCAGAGGAATAGGTTTGCATGGTCTAGGGAAAACAAAAGTGCTAGAATTGATCTGCCAACTCCGACTACATGGCTGTTTTCCCTGATCTTCCACACTCCATTTTTAGTCACCTCATATTCAGAGATCAGCTCTGCATGCTGGTCATCTGGATAGCTAACAGCTGCATGGGGCTCCATTCTCCTGGACAATGTCCACGGGAAGCAGTAACCACCTTTGTGCCTCACCGGCTGGATTGAAGAGTTGAGGATTCCTACCAAAACACTGGTCTTGGACCTTGCTCAAAGGCTGTATGTGGCCATCAGCTAGACAAGTGGTGCATGATCAGTTTGCAGCATCACTGTCCAAAACTCCTAAAGGCCCCCAAAGAACTCCTTGCACTTTATTTTCTATTTACACCGCAGCGTAATAAGTAACTGCTTTTCACCTTCCCCTTCCCAGCCACTGCCTACAGATGATCCGATTCCTGATAGTTTCACTAACTAAGGGAATTTGAGCGATGTGACATCTGTGCTTTTGTTTCTGTCAGGACTTCAAGAAGAGCATGCACGTGCCAGGGAAAAGCCTTTTCTAAAACAGCATCAACCTCCACAAAGCCTAGGCTTTGATACGAACTGCATTTCAGCTCTAAAGAGATCTGGCTGTGGGAACCATCCTTGCCCTCTGAAAGGAGCCCAGTGATCTCAGTTCAAACACCCCATAACCTCAGCCTGCATGCAGAAGAACGGGCTCATGTGTGTAATAACCTCACAGATCATCACGGCCCATTTGGTGCTGTCTTTATGTGACATTAATGATCAGGAGAATATTGCTCCTTGACGGTGTCTGAATCACTCCATGTTGGGATGTATCCATTAAAGGAATGTACGTGACACCTACAAATAACCTCGCTTACTGCTCGTATTACACAAGTACATGGCTAAAACTTAAAAGGTAGAATCATGAGTATTTTTCTTTGATAAGAAAACAAAAGTTAATCATAATAACAGAAGTCTGTGAATACACTGAATTACATTTTAAACCACTGACTGTGATAGCATACATGCATACTACCAAAAACCCCATAAAATCCAAGCTAAAGACAAAAACTATGAAAGTACATAGTCATACTTTATTTAACTACATTTTATCCTTCAATTACACTTTATTTTCTATAGCAGTTGCTCAAAAAGAGGGTACACAAAGATCATCAGGACACTTTCAAGTTTCTGTCTCAAACTGATGTGACAGTTTGTCCATTTGTCTGTAGTGGAACAGAACACAACTTTGAAACTTACAAGGTCTGTTGAGAC